GTCGATTTATTCGGTGAAGTGTGTTGCGGTAGTTGTTCTGCTGCACTGCCCAGATATAAGTTCCAGCTAATTTTTAGCAGCCACAGACCCACTTTACGTTCACTTATCATGCTTTTCTTCACTTTGAGCATATATTCTGCTTAATTGAGTCGCTGCTTGTCGAGCCCACAATTCGCGAAGGTCGAGTAGAAAACGCCTAAAGGATAGACTACATTTTGGACGGAGAAAAGTCGCATAATAGTTGAAAGTTCTGGTAGTTGGAGTGATTCGCGTAGCCTATGCGCACACTAGGCCTCACTGCTCGGTCATCCATGAGAACTCGCAAGTCTGGGAGCAGAGGAGGGAGGATGCTAGCAGTAGCAGCAGCTTGAACGATTTATGAAAACCGCCACGAAAGTGGCAAGTCTTTAAGGCTTATCAAAAATCTCAAAGTCGTTTTCCTCTCTCTCCCCTCTCTCTCTCACAACAGATCGCTCACTTTAATTTATTTCACTATAGTTCAGCATATTTACGAGTAACAGGCGTTGCCGTCGAAAGCCCTATTCAAGGGAACAACATTTAACTTGAAATAAATATATTACTATAAACTAGTAAGTAACATTTATTTTATAAGCATTCGATTGAAGTAGACCCGCTTCTGCTATTGCTTTCTGCGAAACCTCAGGTGAATAAAAGTTTTGTTTCAGCGATCGGATTTTCTTTTCAAATCGCTATTTGTTGCCCATATTGAATGCCGGAACAGTGTTTTTTATTCCGTGCAGCAGCAACAGCAAGGAGTTGTCGATCGCGTCGTACATATTTTGTTGCTCTCAACGTTAGTAGATGGTCTGTTAAACCCGAGCCACCAAGACTCATATTGAGTATCCACCGCGCACTCGTTTGAAGTATCTCTAGTTTTTATCATTTTCTGCGCGCTCGTATATATCTACGCATTATCTACAGTTAACCCTTCCTTTTCCCTAGGTCGTTCGCTCCCCTTCCCCTAACAGTGCACTCTGTTACCGTCAATCTTATCCACAAGGTAAACACTTTGACAAAGTTTGTTTTTTTTCTCCTTGCTTAGAGGTGGTTTCCCTTTTTACTAAAGCAAGTGCTCATTAACACGGGAGTAGCATACATTGGTCACCTGACTGTAGGCAGCAGTGAGCATTTCTGTTTTGCCTCGAAGTTGAGGCTTCACTGCTCATCCAGGCGGCTGTATGTCAATCTGCAGTCTCCGGTGCACGCTCCTTCTACGTAGGTCCGATTTCAACCAATAAGATATGCATCTTTAGGTCATTGATGAGACGGATCAGCTGAATGGAACGCAGTGGGTCCAAGTTCTTTGTTTGCTATTTGTTTATTTCAATTAACTTTCCAGTGGGGTTCAATTAAAACAAAAGAGGGATGTCCACTGCTCTGACGTTTACAGTGGAACCTCGGTTAACGAGTTAAATGCGTTCCGGTCCCGAAATCGTTATGTGAGCAGCTCGTCTTGCGAAGCGTAGCCAATCAGACTGCATCAGTTGACTAATTGGCTGCAGGCGGCCGAGGACCCACGCCCCGGGAGCAAGACTCAACGGTAGACACAGGCACACACGGACTAACAAGCTCGTCAATTGAAGCGAACTTTCTGCTAGTGGCTAGCTCGTTAGCTGAAATTTTCATTGATGGGGCTGCTCATCAGCCGAGGCTCTTCCGTACTGTTTAAGTGTCCCAATGCCTTTTTAAATGCGTGATGGTCGCAAGTGAGACAGCCGGATTTGATGACAACTATTCAATTGACACTCGTTGATGAACGTTCACCAAAATGGCTATTCCAGTCTCCCTTGTCTTTGCCAGCACTACTATCTACCTAAAATATCTAATTAGCAGACTGCATCGGGGTCCTATTCAATAGATTTGCGCGCTGGCACTTTTTCTGCTGCCTTTCTCTCTCTCTCTCTTTCTCTCAAAAGATCGCTCACTTCAATTTATTCCAGTACGCTTCAGTATATTTAAGAGTAAAAGGCGTTGTCTTCGAAGTCCTATTAGAGGGAACAGCATTCAACTTAAACAAATGTATTACTATAAATTAGGGAGTAACATATGCATTTTCTGAAAATTAAGATTGAAGCGGAGACCCCGAAGGTTCAAAAACAACTTGAGATAAATGAGTATCATAGTTATCTATAAGTATACGCAAGGCCTTTGCTTGTTGTAACAACGCAAATCAACCAGAAAGGACTGTTACTGTCAGTCTGACAGTGCATTAAACACACAAGGCGGCATTTGCTTATCCGGAAAGCCCGATCACCTACTCCGCGTCATGAGAAAGAAAGGGTTCAAGATGTTAACTGCTAGCCCATCTGCGGAAAAGGATTCGGATCTTTTCCAACCAAAGTTTAGCATTCCAGTGGTCTCTGGCGCATTCCTTCACCCAGAATCCGCACGTACACCTGTATTTCCATCCTGCGTTCTCGTTCTGATAAGGGAATCTTCCATACACTGTCTGTGTCATTTCCCCCCCCCACTCCT